TGGGCAGGGGGGGGGTGTGGTGTGGGCCTGCCCTCAAGGGGAAGGGGCATGCTGGCAGTACAGGGCTGGGCAGGCCAGTATGCATCTGGCAGGTTCGTAAACAGTGCCCTCCTGCTGGGCTGCACAGAGCGGGGTTGCTCCCAACATGCTGTGCCTCATTGCCCCCAGACCGCCCTTCACTCTGGAGACTGACTATCCTGCCCCCTGCACCTTGCCCCATGGGGGCCCACAAATATGTTTGGTGCTGAGCCCACAAAAAGTTAATCCGGCCCTGCACCTGACAGAGGGACTAGAAGGTTATAAAAGGGCAGGAACTGGTTTATTCAAGTTCTTTGGCCACTTTCACCAGCTCAAGCAGAAGGAATCTGCTGCAAGAGTCTGATGAGGCGGGGGAACCCTGCCTACATGAACTGAGATGGTCTCCTAAGAGAACAGTGAGCTAGAGTGAAGGGCATTGCATTCAGGTTATTAGTTTTATAGAGAGCACAAATCATACCGAAAACAATCATGCCACTAAGTAAAGAGCAATGGTTTATAATTCTGTGCAAAGCATGCCTCTGTGTTGGGTTACAATATGTACAATACCCTTGAAGAGGTACACTTTGGGCCCAGAACACCATCTTGGCTGGAATATTGGGAGACTGTGTTTAAGTTATGGGGGGGATCCTGAGGGGTCAGCACTGGTTATAGGCCATGTAGTTGTAGCTCTTAGGAGTGGGTGCTAGGATGTACCTTGAGCCTAGGGACCCCAAGACAAGGGCAGTGCCTGGACTCCATTCAGACTCAGGACACTTAAAATACCCAGGATCCAGCGACTGAGTCCCCTCACATCAGTCTGGTGAGCAGCCAAGAGGGGGCACTGACTGGAGCTGTGACCATGCAATTTTTGCTCTGAATGTTGCCCTTCATTACTCAGCCCTACTGGAGCCTTGAGCAGGAATAACTTTGTATTTCTCATCAGCTTTGTGGCCCAATTTGCAGTGCTTTTGTTATGACTTTTTCTTTATCAAAGTGCCTAATGGATACACGTGTGCTTGTCTTGGAGAGTGAAAAACTGGGCCCATGGCCACCCAGTGACGTCTCAAAGCCTGAAGGGATTATTGTTCAGTGGAATTAACTGTTGGCATCTTCTTCAATTTGCTTCGTCTCTTGCTTTGAATCAAACCAGAAGTCTTATTCTTTCCTCCATCTGTAAACTATCTTTTTCTTTTGCCTTTCAAAGTGAATTTAACGGGAGCATGGACCTGGACTAGCAGAATGGACTCTGAAATTCTCTATTTATCCACGCACTGAATTATTGCCATCTTGACTAGAGCTGGCCAGAGGCTGACAATTCCATTCTGCAACAACTTACAAGGTTTCAAAACTTGTCCATACGGGAATGAAAACAAAACCTTTCAATGGTTTTGCGAAATTGAACTGTGTTGAAATATCTACCTGATCTCTTTGATATTGGTCTCTCTCAGAAGTGGCAAGAGAGTCATTACACCCTGGACTTCTGAAACATTTCTATTGGAAACTTGATCAAAACCGATACATCTTCAGGAAATTTTTGACTTAGATAAAAAACAGATTTAAAAGTACACCCAGTTTGTAATGGGTCATATTTATAAGGATGCTATTCTGAATTGGTCATTTTGTTTGACCCTTTTGATGGTGGTGGCTTCCTCCTGAACATACTCTCTACCTTCTTTCTTCATTCTGAATGCAGGATTAGCTAAAGGTGGAATATCTTCAGCTAAACTCAGTTAATTAGAACCTTTAATTGTTTAATGGAGTGCTTCAATACACCTGTCAATGGACCAGAAACTAGGTCCCCCTAAAGCATGCACATCTCATTCCTCACATATGTCAGGGGATCTTGGCCACTTGGACAGCCCTGTTCTGCTCTCCCTATGGAGGGCACTCAGCAGGTTCAGGGTCCACAAACAGGAGAGGAGGTGGGGCTAAGGGAAGTGCACATCTCTTCCCTTTAGCCCTGTAGAAAAAGTTAGCCCAGGGAGTCTGTGGTAGGGCAGCTTTAAGATACCTGTTCTGCCAGGTACAAGTGGAACAGCTGGGCAAGACACAGCTAGTGAGAAGGCAACTGTCCATTGTGGGTTGCCTGGTCTCTCTCAGATCCCTGGGGATCTGCCAGCTTTGGGTGTTAGACATTGTGGCCTTTTCCATAGGGGAGCATACACCACCTCTCTGGTGAGATGGATCAGATACCTCTCCTCGTCCCCTGCCCCTCCACTGCCATTGTATGGCTTTTCTCTGTGAAAGGAAAAGATAAAGGCCCGGGTTAAATTCTGCTTTCAAAGAGGTGTAGAACTGAAGTAACTATTAAAGTCAATATCACTCCAGATTTATACTGGTGTAACTGAACTTAATTCAGCCCTACAATTTATAAACTAGAAGATCAGTTAGTGACAGTTTCTGGTGGTAGATTTAATGATATGAGCACTTGTCTGCAAAGAAATCAAGAGAACCATATTTAATTTCCCAGTGGACCACAGAACAGCTTGCCGATGCTAGTATATATGTTGAAGATGAAGAACAAGTCATCCACAATAGATCTTGCCACACAATGGCCACAGAACAAGAGATTTGCAACCTGTTGGAATAGTTTCAACTTTACTCAAATGACAGCTCTCCGTGTCTTTTAAATTGCATGACCAGAGGGCAGACTTGCCTGGAAATACTTTCTTGCACTGAGCACTCAGCTAGTCTAGATTCAACCACACATCCACTTATTAAAATCATTAGTTCCAGTCAGGTTTTTTTCCTATTACCATCTTATTCCTGAAAACATTACTGTCACCAGATTAGGTTTAGGTGTTTGGCACCATTGACAATTTATGTGGATATCCCACTGAAATGTATGTTTGAAAGCAGAGTAGCAGCAGCTTGAATAAGAGGTTTCTGAAGGAGATGAATTTTTTTGATTGAGAAAATGAACATTTTGGCTTCCTAAGTAATATTTATTGTGGAATGCATGGTTGATGCAGTGTTCTGCAGTTACACCTTCTTTGGAATTCTGCATTGCTAGGTTGACTACATCCAGGCAGTCACCTAAGTCATCTGTCAGCTTGACAGACAGCAGTAGCACTGACGAGACATTTATTCTGCAGTGCATTGAGATTGGCTTATCTAAAGAACTGACATCAAGTTATTTAACCTCTTTCTTATCTTTTTGGTCTTGTACACATCATATCTATGGGCGTTTCTTAACTCTAATTGTCAGTATTTGCCCAGAGAAGTAGATGAGTGAAATGTTAATCTGCCTCTTGAATTCAGGTGCATAGATCCTTCCAAACACTCTCAAATCACAACTTGCCTACTAGCTAGTGCAAAATCATCTGTGGGAAATATTCTACTAAATTGATCTTCTGATACAGATCCTGTCAGAATGCCTAGGAGAAAAGGAAAGCAACATTACACAGAGATGTCTGCTAGGAGTTAAAAGGGTCAGGGTGTTTTGAGGTCTTGGAAAAAATTTTGAAGTAGAAAGTAGTTAAGGACTTTGAAGGAACAGTAATCCACACCATGTAGAGTCAAGAACAGGAGTTTATTATGCACAGTGCTGGTGGAATGTCACTTTGCTTATTAGGCTCAGAGACATTGCAGAACAATGAATTACAATAGATTATATAGGGTGCTCATTGGGCAGAGAGACGCGACAGGGGATGGGTTTTCCCAAGCCCCTGGATAGGTTCTAGCAGCAAGACAAGATAAGCACAATAAGCCAATGATCTAAAAAATTACATAATGGCTCTGCCCATGGCCCAAATTAACATATTGCTGACACACAGGTAATTACCCCCAAACTATGTTTATTAAAGTGTATAAGTTAAATCCTAATTTTGGGGTCCAGGGGAATGAGGTAGCAGCTTTCCCGGTTGACCAACAGGTACATTCCTGGAGATTTAATGCAAAAAAGCAGTAATTAGTATTTAACAATAACAATTGTTTATAAGTTTTCCCTTGCATTTCTGTGGGCTAATATTGGCATACATGTTATGAGGGGAAGGTGTCATAACTTATGTCAATTATATTAGGCCTCTCCCTGAACTGTGTCTGGGATCTGAGGGGTATTGTACCACTATCTCTTCCCTGCATTAGGGAGTAACCGTGAGGCCTTTCTCAGTGCTTCATGTATCTACAACTCAGGATAAGGATGCCCAATTACATTTGGAGTTATGCTGACTTCGCTCACTGACTTGAAACACACAAGGTTATCTGTTTACCCCAGCTTTCTCTTAGCTATGTATTGTTCTTTGTTAGCTAGTCTTCATCCGGGCCTATAAGAAAAGTCCTTAGCAGAAACTGTAATTAAGATTTTACATCCACAGCAAATGGATTTTGGCCCTTCAGACATTGAGGTCAATCGTAATTGGGACAAAATACAACATGGTTTTACAAAAGGTGGATCATGCCAAACCAACCTGATCTCCTTCTTTGAGAAGGTAACAGATTTTTTAGATAAAGGAAATGCAGTGAATCTAATTTACCTCAATTTCAGTAAGGCATTTGATACAGTTCCACATGGAGAATTATTAGTTACATTGGAAAAGATGGGGATCAATAGGAAAATTGAAAGGTGGATAAGGAACTGGTTAAAGGGGAGACTACAGCAGGTCACACTGAAAGGTGAACTGTCAGGCTGGAGGGAGGTTACTAGTGGAGTTCCTCAGGGATCGGTTTTGGGACCCATCTTGTTTAATCTTTTTATTACTGACCTTGGCCCAAAAAGTGGGAGTGTGCTAATAAAGTTTGCGGATGACACAAAGCTGGGAGGTATTGCCAATACAGAGAAGGACCAGGATATCATACAGGAAGATCTGGATGACCTTGTAAACTAGAGTAATAGTAATAGGATGAAATTTAATAGTGAAAAGTGCAAGGTCATGCATTTAGGGATTAATAACAAGAATTTTTGTTAAGCTGGGGACTCATCAATTAGAAGTAACAGAGGAGGAGAAGGACCTCGGTGTATTGGTTGATCACAGGATGACTATGAGCCGTCAATGTGATATGGCCGTGAAAAAAGCTAATGCGGTCTTGGGATGCATTAGGCGAGGTATTTCCAGTAGAGATAGGGAGGTGTTAGTACCGTTATACAAGGCACTGGTGAGACCTCATCTGGAATACTGTATGCAGTTCTAGTCTCCTATGTTTAAGAAGGATGAATTCAAACTGGAACAGGTACAGAGAAGGGCTACTAGGATGATCCGAGGAATAGAAAACCTGTCTTATGAAAGAAGACTCAAAGAGCTCGGCTCGTTTAGCCTAACCAAAAGAACGCTGAGGGAAGATATGATTGCTCACTATAAATATATTAGAGGGATAAATACCAGGGACGGAGAAGAATTATTTAAGTTCAGTACCAATGTGGATACAAGAACAAACGGATATAAACTGGCCATCGGGAAGTTTAGATTTGAAATTAGACAAAGGTTTCTAGCCATCAGAGGAGTGAAGTTCCGGAACAGCCTTCCAAGGGGAGCAAAACACATATCTGGCTTCAAGACTAAGCTTGATAAGTTTATGAAGAGGATGGTATGATGGGATAGCCTAATTTTGGCAATTCATTGATCTTTGACTATTAGCGGTAAATATGCCCAAATGGCCTGTGATGGGATGTTAGATGGGGTGAGATCTGAGTTACTACAGAGAATTCTTTCCTGGGTGTCTGGCTGGTGAGTCTTACCCACATGCTCAGGGTTTAGCTGATTGCCATATTTGGGGCGGGAAGGAATTTTCCTCCAGGGCAGATTGGCAGAGGCCCTGGGGGGTTTTTGCCTTCCTCTGCAGCGTGGGGCACGGGTCACTTGCTGGAGGATTCTCTGCACCTTTAAGTCTTTAAACCATGATTTGAGGACTTCAGTGGCTCAGACATAGGTTAGGGGTTTGTTGTGGGAGTGGGTGGGTGAGATTCTGCGGCCTGCATTGTGCAGGAGGTCAGACTAGATGATCATGATGGTCTCTTCTGACCTTAAAGTCTATGACTCTATGACACCAGCTGTGATATTAATCAAGGACAGGAATTAAATTAGAGCACTCAGGGGCTGTGCACAGATCCTGCCAGTGCACAGATTGTCTAAACTGTTATCCTGTGAAGTGCCTCATTAATACCCACTTTAGAGTTACAGTAACTGAACCTATCAAACGCCAATCACCCAGTAGTAATATGTGTGATTAACTGAGAACACCCTATCATTGTCACATTGCAATCTGGGAATAACTGGGAGAAAATGGCTTTGCATTTACACTTTAGGCTTCATTAATAAGTGTATCAGTCAACTATGGTAAGTTTGAGGATTAGGTTCTAAGACATTGGAACAGTTTCTCCAACTATAAAACCAGGATTCACAGAAGTGTTGTCTCCAAAACACTCTTGCAGAATCCTGTAACAAAATTGTTGTCCTAGGCTCCGATTCAGCAAAGAACTTAAGAACTTGCTTAAACTTAATCATATTCTTAAGTCCTATTAACTTCAATAAGGATACTAGCATGCTGAAAGTTAGGAACATACTTAAGTAACTTACTGATCTGGAAACTCACCACTCACATAAACTTTGCAAGAGAGTTTGGGTACATGTACACAGCCCATGGTAGCAAGCCTCCCAGCCCAGGTCACCAGGCCTTGTACTTGCACTCTAAAAATAGCTGTGCAGACAGCGCTTTGAAGTTGCGGCTTGGATTCGGAAGTCTAGGGAGGAGGCCCCACCTGAGGTGCAACCTCAAAGTGCAATTTACATAGCTATGATTAGATTGTTAGTATGATCCCTTCCAGCCCAGGTCTGTCAACCAAGCTGGGAAGCTTGGTGCCACAGGCTATGTGGACATACTCTTAAAGCGTCATGACAACACTTGTATCTGATGGGAGGGGTCTCTTTATGAAATATTTTGCTTGAATTGCCAAATGGCTTTGGAAAATAGGCACTCTTACTTGAAACATGAGGTATGCTTTATCTTTACCCTTCCAGTAAAAAAACTGTTGTGTAGTGTATTTGTATTTGGTTGTAGAAACAAACCCCAGAACCATAGTCTCCACTGCCTTTTACCCTCTGGAGTGTTACAGCTGTGTAAAGTGAACATGCCACTCAGTGTCTTATACCTGCTAGTCAGGCTTAAATGACCACACAAGTGGTAGAGCACTGAAGGAGTAGTTAGATGCTCTTTTCGATTGGAGCATCTGCAAGGAGTTGCCTTGCTGGTGATTTGCAGTGTGGACCATATCTTGACATGAAACAAATGATGGTGGTTTTTTTGGTAGGGTGATCATATTTTAGGGAAAATGGGACACTGTGCGGGGCTGGCCCGAGCTGCTCATCCAAGCTCTGCCCACCCCTGCTTGTGGGGCCGGCCCATTCCCTTCCTCCCCTTGCCTCCCCGCACATGCAGGGCTCTTGTCTGAGCCCAGCCTGCTCCTCCTCACCCACAATCCCTCTCCCCCCCACTGTGCGGTTGGTGTCCTCGCTTACTCCCCTCATGTTCCTCTGCACCCCACTAGGTGTGCGTGCCCCACGTTTTTGGCAAAAGTAGGTATTTGTCCCATTTGCTCTTGCGAACTGATCAATGCCCACTTCTGCCAAAAAAGTCAGGATGGCCGGGACAGGGATTAAAAAAGGGACTGTCCCGGTGAGGGCCAGCTCCAGCTTTTTTGCCGCCCCAAGCGGCGAAGCCAAAAAAAAAAAAATCGGCGATCGGCGGCACTTCGGCGACAGCTCTACCGTGCCGCTTCATTCTTTGGCGGCAATTTGGCGGCGGGTCCTTCCCTCTGAGAGGGAGTGAGGGACTTGCCGCCGAAGACCCAGACGTGCCGCCCCTTTCCATTGGCCGCCCCAAGCACCTCCTTCCTTTGCTGGTGCCTGGAGCCGGCCCTGGTCCCAGCCAAAATGGGAGGTACAGTCACCCTAGTTTTTTGTAATCTAAAAATTGCAGGTTTGAAAAATGCCAAATATTAAAATGCTTTTTCCTTATTCATGTAAAATGTGGTGTTATGCTTTGTACATCTTTAGCACCTTCAGTCCAGCAGTCAGAAAGCCCTTTACAAACATTAACCTGACAGCACTCTTGTTGATCAAGTCATCTACCACTGAAGCGTATTTATGGCATAGGGGGGAGACTGTGACCTGTTTTAACAGTGCACAGCAATATGAAATAACTGGAAGTGAAGGAGAATCCTTTTTCCCCAATAAAACAGCAGGGCTTGTAACACACAACTTTCAGATCATTAATCCTTAGCAAACTGGCCAAACCTTAGGCATCCAACCCATTACAGATTAGTCAACTGGGTCACTGCTTGCTGGCCAGCCCAATCGCATTTCTCAGCCTTCCTCTTTCCCTGTATTTATTTTCTCCTGAAATATTTCCATCAATTCAGAAAAATGAGGTGCATCAGCAGTAGAAATCAAGGAGAGAACTGGGTCCAATCTTTTTATATTTAGAAATTATAAAAAGACAAATTTAGGAAACCTGGTGTGGTTACCTTTCACATGATATTAAGTTTTAGTCAGATATGCTAGAAAGACTTCCCTGAGTGTGTTTTCAATGGAGCGCATAGCACTAGAGAAGCAAAGTCATTTAATCTACTAAAGATAGGCATTAATGTTTTCTCTGTAGAAGAAAATGATGGTTCTTGAAGTTAAAATTATGAAAGAGGAAAAAATTAACTTGTCAGTTAAATCAGAAATAATTACAATAGGAAGTAAAGTGATATATTCAGCTTTACAGAAAATGAGAATCCAGGAATTTGGAAATAATAGGAAAGTTATCAGTGGCTTATTAGTTGTTGTAGCATCAAGGAGCCCCAGGCATGGGGGTGAGCCCCAGGACCCTGTTGTACTAGATGATGTACAAACACAGAACAAAACGAACAAAGCGGTTGTGAGGACAGGACATCTCTACATCAA